TATCTCAGGGTGGCCGGGCGATCAGTCAGTTATATGTATGCTTGTTGTGATTTCATCAATGGTTATTGCGGAGGATCAATTGAAGTTTTGTTGTGAATTGTACAATCAGGTGTCATCTCATTTCAATCTCGCGTGTATGTGTGATGATGATTAGATTAAAGTATTTGAGGTTCTTGAAATTACTAACAGACGTAAAAAAGCTCGGCACAAATGACTTCAAAGTTCAAAGTTCAAACACGTGCCGGGCTTGATGAGCCGCCGTGTCAGCAGGAGTGAGCTATGTCAGTGGGTGCCATTTTGGTAGGAAGAATCTTAGGCCTGTGGCCTGTTCAGCGGTGTCATGAAAGAAATGAAACGGAGGATTGCTGCCTTTAAGAAGCTAGCGCTTTGGCAGGCGTGCTGCTTCGCGGAGGCCTGCATTTGTAACAAGTGCTCTCTGAACCGTGCGAGATGGAGAGACGCAGCACTGTCGATTTGATTTTTGATTCATTCACGGAATGCATCGGTGTGAACAATCAGCAGGAAATGTGTCTGGCGGTGTCTATGTCAGCACCTGACCCTTCCTCATGTTGACAGTATACCCTGCGTTGCACCTCTTGCACATTGTGTTTTAAACCACCATTGTTCTGTGACGCGGCCACGCATGGGCTGTGACTTACGAGGCACGACGCTTTGCGGTGGATTGCAGCGGGCAGTTTGTGCGTGCGTGCGTGCGTGCGTGCATGTGTGTGTGTGTGTGTGTGTGTGTGTGTGTGTGTGTGTGTGTGTGTNCCCATGTAGCCCATGCCACTTTTTCCATTGCAACCTAGGGTACCAGAGTTGCCTGGGGACCACTTGCCTGGCCGAGCGTCCCCCCCCCCCCCACCCCCACACACACACCTGTCTCTTATACACATCTAGATGTGTATAAGAGACAGGCGTTAAATAGAGCATAAATAAAACTCTTTCATCAGCTGTGTGTGTGTGTGTGTGTGAGAGAGAGAGAGAGAGAGAGAGAGAGAGAGAGAGAGAGAGATCAGCATATCGTCTGTTCTCTCTGTGTGTGTGTGTGTGTGTGTGTTTCCCCGCTGTGTATGCACGCTGTTGATTTTTGTAGCGATTGTTGACGCTTTGGAGTTATTCTTTTTTTTCAGGGCCCCGTGTTGAGGTTGCTTTTACCTTTCTTTTGGCAGGCATTGCCATTTTGCAGTTGTCATGGTTTCTGGCCACATGCGATTTCGCGCCTGTTTTTTTTTTTCCCCCTTGCAGCAGGCATTTTTTGTGTTGCTGTTATGTCTCCTGGCCGCACGGTCCTGCACTGTATTTGAATAGAGGGAAAAGATCGTTTGAGTACAAGTACATGCCTGAAAGGTGTTGACGAACAGTATACGTGTAACTATTTGGAAACAGGTCACGAGTTTGAATCACATTGGAGTCATCCTCTTTTTAAAAAGGTTAAGTCGCCCAACCCGACTCAATCTTCTGTGTATTCTGACAGGATGACCTTTCATCAGGCCTTTATTATTCTTATAGTATTACACAAATTCTTATCCTATTATTACGGGGAACCCAATCATGTTCCCTAGAGAACATGCAGAGGCTGCACCCAACCAGCAGGTGGGCCATACTGGCAAGCTGTCAGCCGCTAGTGTCAGCACTGAACATCATGTGAGTGGCCAGTTGCTGTGCCTCCCTTCTGCCCCCCTATTGCTACGAATGGCAATAGTATCGGCTTATTCCGATCAGGGGGGTGAACAGGCCAATGGGAACTGAACGCACGACCTCCTTTTTTTAATAAAAGAAAAAAGATCTTCTTCTGAATACACCCCCTTCTGTTGTTACGGCAAAAAGAAAAAGAGGAAGTACAAGTACACGCGTTATGGATTTGAATACAAGTAAGCGAGCAGTTGACGAGTCCAAATTCGATCGAGTAAGAAGCGCAAGAGTCGTTCGAACAGAAGTACACAGCTGACAGCTGTCGACGTGGATTTGAATTGCACCGGAATCGAACGAATTGAACCCCTTCATTTCTTAGGGGAAAAAGAGAAAAGAAAGGAAAAGGCGAAAAGGGCTTCCGACCCCTCAAGTAGATTGGGGTTTCCTCAATGGGGCAAGGTCTCTCTTTGGTTCTCCGTTTTCTGTTTCAGGAGGGGTGGGTCCCACAGCCCTCCCACAACCTACATTGCACTGTCCACCCCCAGTAGCCCGAAAATCTAGTCCACGCGGTGCCGTCCAGCCCACTTAGTATCACCCCAGCCACACAATACTACCGAGCCCACATAGTACCACCCAGGAATGCACTGTGTGACAGTGTGTGTTCTTTTTTTATCATGCTTTGTGAGAGTCATATCTGTCTATGTGTGTGTTTTCAAGTGTACATAGCGGTTCTCTCTTCCGTGCACTAGTAGTTCTCTCTTTTAGGGGTTATCCACACCACATTGCGCCACCCAGCCGACATAGCATTGCCCACCTACCCTGTAATATACCGCCCAGGCCACATATCTTTAAGGGATGTTACGATCCTGGTCATTTCCAAAGTGCAAATTCACAAGGAAAGACAATGCCACCGAACTGCGAAAGAAATGAAAGCACTTGCAAAGAGATAGAGACCAAAGAAGACAGAAAGAAGAAGAAGAAGAAGACAAATCCCCCTTCTCTCTCCACCTTCCTCCTCCTTGACTTTGCCAATCTTATTCTTCTTCCCAATAATAATATTAACAATGAGTGGATGAACCAGAATCAATATCCAAAGTTCCCTCTTACGACCAGCACAACAACAGGTCCACCATAGCCATGGATTCCCCCTTCTTCCTCGTTTCACATGCCAAGGCTATGGCAGACTACTAAGGGCTCTGCCCTCCTGTCCAAAGGACAACACAAAGCAGCTATGTCGCTGCTCATCAGGCCGCCATGCCTGACTCTGCCTCAACCTTCCTTGGTGCGGCACTATCCAGATGCAGCGCCTATTGAGGTGATGAAGATGGTGTCCACCATAGCCAGGTAGGTACCTCGCCACTCTCCTCCATTGCCCCCCTTCTTCCTCCTCCTCAGGCTGGGCTGCTGGCCATAGCCAGGTTGAGCGCTCAGCTGCTCTCCTCCTCCAGGCAGCGCTCCAAGTTCAGCGCTTGGCTCCAGCAGTATGTCTTCATTCGTTGCACACTGCAAATGAGGAGGAGCTACTTGCTCCTCCCGAAGATATAGCAGCCTACTTGCCTCTTGGACGGTGACTTCCTAGGCCGCACGACCTCCAAGCAACTGGTACCTCCTCCCTTTCGGGGGGAAACATCATTGCAGACTCAGGCTACTTGGGCTAGCACCGGCCTACCTCTAGTCTACTGCTACTGGGCCTCTAAAAATGCCAACTTTTTGTCTTCTTCTGCTGGGCCTCGAGTGCCCGACACTTCTACCACTACTTGAGTGGTACCAGCCTACCTGCTACTTGAGTGTTTATCCCGCTGCTGGCCTACCTGCGCTACTCGAGTGTTTTTCCCCGCTGCAACCCGCAAAGTCACAGCCACGGGTAAGTACCGGCCCTGCGGGGCCTCCCGACCAACAAGTACCATTGCGGGTCACATACACACTCAGGCCGACAATCACTCAGACAGGCTTGCAGACCAGCAGGGACACACACACACACAGACAGACTTTGAAATCATAGCAGTATGCTGAAACCTCAGTAAGGCATACATTCCAGCGGCAAATCCCAGACGTTAGCAGTGTTCTCCGTCTGTGTTTTGGCGGGTCGTTACAGGGGAGAGAAAAAAGACCCACCCCACATAGAACTCTGCAGCCGGATCACCCAGTCTGTGTGCTACCACCCAACACACAGTGTCACGCAGCCCACATAATACGATCCAGTGCACATATTACCTCCTAGCGATGCCTCGGTGTGCTCTTTTTTTGGTGCTTTGTGAGAGTCATGTCTGTGTTTGTGTGTGTTTCAAGTTCATAGTGGTTCTCTCTTTGGTGGGTGGGTTCTCTCTTCTTTGTGGGTTGGGATTGGAAGGGGGGGGGGTGGGGTGGGGGGTCAGCAGCCATGCCACATAGCATCGCCCACGTGACAAGAGAGAGAGAGAGAGAGAGAGAGAGAGAGAGAGAGAGAGAGAGAGAGAGAGAGAGAGAGAGAGAGAGAGAGAGAGATCTTTGGTCTATTTACTGACAAATCTTTGTAAACTGAATTGTTTCTGCATTTTCCTCGCACGTAATCAAGACATTTTCTGAAATGGCTATTTTTATCGCATGGGGCCGAGGGGAGGAGGATGTCAGGCCGGTGTCGTGGGAGGAGGCGATCAACTTGGGGCCGAGGGGGAGGGCGAGGAGAGGATTAAAGATATCTCTTGATCTGAGCGAGAAGGGGATTCAAGTTTGCTTGCTTTTTGAGAAACCCAAAAGGACGCTGTAGGAACCTTAAGAAGTTAAGTTTATGCAGTAAGTTCATTTATGTTGTCTTAAATGTCTTTTTTTTCTTTTTTTTTCTGTGCAAGAAGTGCTTTTTGTTAAACTACAGATATCGTTTGGTCGGAGGGAAGAAGCGTATCCAAGGTTTATTGCTTTTCTACGTACCCAAACGGAAACTGTAGCGACCTTTGAAAATCCTACAAACATCCGGAAAAGCTTGAGGAAAGAACTTTAGAGTCTAGACTCTAGACCTTCCTGGAAAAGTTGAGAAAAAACTTCAAAAAAGAAAGAAACTAGACACCTTCCTGAAAAAGACTATGAGAAAAAGACTATGAAAAAGGCTAATGTACTATGTACTATCCTGAAAAAGGCTAAGAAAAAAACTATGTACTATGTACTATGTAGTACAGTGCGCACGGCGTTACATTGCCTAATGTTGCAGCGCGGCATGTATACATTACCTAACGTCGAAGCGCGGCATGTATGGGAGGGAGGGTCACTTGTGGTGAAGACTCTGAAGAGCCCTTTTTTATGTTGAAGGGGTCCGCGTTTTTGCTAACACTGATTCTACCGGATGACGACGACCCGCATCTGACGTGTTCTGTGGGTGGTTGTGATGACAGGTAAAAGCGCGGGGGGGATGGTTGCTCTTTTTCTTTGTTGGGCTTATGATGGCGGCGGGGGTCATAGAGACGTTTGAGGAAGTCTTGAAGAAAGAAGTCGAACTCAGTTATTTTGTACCTCTCCTGATTGGACATGGTGGGAACACAGGTTCCCAGTCTGTGGCCACTGTAATACGGGCGTTGGCACTAGGTAAATGGACCTGCACTTGGCATGCTCCTCCTCCGCTTCTCTGCTTCTATTTCCTCGGGCCCCTCTACATTTTCCTCGTGCTTGTCTGCTCTTCCGCCTTCTCTGCTTCTATTTCCTCCTCCCTCTGGCCCCCCGCTCTTCCTCCTCCTCCTCCTCCTGCACCTCTTCCTGCTTTGTGTGCTGCGTTAATTGAAGAGTTTTCGCTTATCTATCACTTGACTCTGTGGGTGGAGTTGCGTGGCCGCTCTTTAGTTGGAGTGATTTGTCTGGTGAATGCCATAACAAACGAGACGTCAGCCTGGGAAAAAAAAAAAAAAAAAAAAGAGCTTAATGATTGGTTGATATAATGGCATAATGGAGATCGTATGTTATGCATGCTTATGCTGGACGCGGACATGGACAGCATCCAGACGAGACGAGACCTGGACTTGGCTCTATTGATTTAATTTTTTTTTCGGGGGGGGGGGGGGGGGTGTTGGAGGGGGGATGTCAACTGAAATTTTAGACCCTATCAAATGACTCGCTTGCTTGATATTCGCAATCCAATGCCATGACCTTGCAAATGTTGGGAGCAGGGATGCGTATATGTGGCAATATGTGCGAATGAAGTCGCGATGTGGGTCTCTGTTTTTTTTTTTCACTATTTAGGGCTTAGGGTTTAGTTACTCGCTAATGCTCTTTCCGTGTGATCGGTTGTCATTGGTCTGGACCTTTTTTCTGAATCTGACAGGTCAGGTGTCACCTGCAGACCTCCCGTATGTACTCAGGAAGGAAGCGCTCACAGGATGCAGTATCGGGGGTATTCTGGGATTGATAATCCTTGTGGTTGCGTATCTTTATCAAGGCATTTCAACAAGGGTTTGTGACCTTTGTGCCCCTCCTCTCATTCCTTTTTTTTTTTTTTTTTTTGAAGTTTTTTTTTACAAAAGATGTAATTTCCCTAAAACAGATCAGGCCCCTTTTTTCGTTTTTTGGGTAAATACAAAGCAGGAGGTCCTTATGGACCTGGTTCCATATCCATTCCGTGGAATCGCACTCCCGGCCCTGGCAAGCCCCGCGCAGAAATGCATCGAATGATACCTCCGCGCTTTGTTCCGTTCAGGTTTAGGGTTTTCCCCGGAACAACATTGTGGTCTTCCAAGGGGAGGATTGACTGTCAGAGCCTTTTTTTTTTTGTGTTCTTTCTTGGACCACTGCCAATCTCAGCTCTGTTGAGACTCTTGAGAGTGTCTGATTGATTCGATTATTTGTAATTTATTACCAATAACGTTTTAAGGTCCATGGTGCACGGCATTGCAGCCCCTCGTCTGTTGTCCTGTTCTCCTTCTCTGCCTGCGGTTGTGCAGTGACTGTCAGATGGACCTACCACTCACTCTCGCCTGACCCATCGCCGTGCCCATTTGCGATTGACCCTGGAAGCTCCCATGTAGCCCATGCCACTTTTTCCATTGCAACCTAGGGTACCAGAGTTGCCTGGGGACCACTTGCCTGGCCGAGCGTCCCCCCCCCCCCCACCACCACACACACACACACACAAAAATGAAAAATATATATATATATATATAATATATCTGTGTTACATTCCGGGCCGCCCGGCGGCGCAGTCTCCGTCCGGCAGGGGTCCCAGGCGGCCCGGCCGGTTGGGTCCCCCGGTTCGATGCCGGGCGGGCCCAGCGCATTTTTGCGCGGGGTGGGGGGGGAGGCCTGTTTCGACTATTCTGGGCCTTGGGAGCCTCCCCGCCCCCCCGCGCAAAATTTTTCGGCCGCGCGCTCCCTTCGAATTCGAAGATTCTGAATCGAGCTGCTCCCACCGAGGTAGTGCTCCCTTCGACGCCCGTCGCTGCCCGCCTTCGCGGAGGAAGTGCTCCCGCCCTCGACGCCCGTCGCTGCCTGCCTTAGCCGAGGTAGTGCTCCCGCCGTCGACGCCCGTTGCTGCCCGCCATCGCCGAGGTGCCCGTCGTCACTGCCGCCGCCGCTGCCCGTCGTCGCTGGGGAAAGAACCACCCAGCTCGTCCTCGCCGCCCGTGGTCGTCGATACGGTACTGTTGCGCGAAGTGCCACGTGTCAGCTCTCTCTCTCCTCCTCGTCCTCCTTCGTCATCCTTATCTTTTTTTTTTTTTTTTGTCGACGTATCAAGAAACCGGCAGATCCT